GGTAGAATCTTTATGGTTTTCTACATAGAATATCATGTCATCTGCAAATAGCGACAATTTTACTTCTTCCTTTCCAACTTGGATGCCTTTTATTTCTTTTTCTTTCATAATTTCTCTGGCTAAGACTTCCAATACTGTGTTGAATAAAAGTGATGAGAGTGGGCATCCTTGCCTTGTTCCTGATCTTAGAGAAAAAGCTTTCAGCTATTCACTGTTGAGTAAGACATTAGCTGTAGGCTTGTCATATATGATCTTTATTATGTTGAGGTACATTCTCTCTGTACTCTTTGTTGAGAGTTTTTATCATGAATGGATGTTGAATTTTGTCAAATGCTTTTTCTGCATCTATTGAAATGATCATGATTTTTATCCTTCATTTTTTTAATGTCGTGTATCACATTGATCGATTTGCAGATGTTTAACCATCATTGCATCCTGATATAAATCCTACTTGAGTATGCTGTATGATCTATTTTTCTTTTGCTGAGGACAGTTAGCCCTGAGCTAACATCTGTGCCAGTCTTCCTCTATTTTGTATGTGGGTCTCTGCCACAGTATGGCTGACAAGTGGTGTAGGTCCGCACCCAGGATCTGAACCCGTGAACCCAGGCTGCCAAAGCAGAGTCTTCGGAACTTAACCACTATTCCACAGGGCCAGCCCCAGTGTATGATCCTTTTAATGTATTATTACAAGAAGCACCTTTAACATTCATATTTCTAGCAAGATCCTGTTCATGGTGATGTATGTGTTTTCTAAGACAATAAAAGCTTCCTCTACAGCTCTCCCCTTTTCCTTCCGAGCTCTCACCAGGATCACCTTTAATGTCCCTTTTTCTACTAACAATCTTTTCAAGGCAATCTAGGGTTTTCTTCTATCATGTACTTCAAAACTCTTGTAGCTTCTACCCATTACCCAATTCTGAAGCCATTTCAACATTTTTAGGTATTTGTTACAGCAGTAGCCCACTTCCCAGTACCAAAAATCTGTATTAGGTTTCTTGGGCTGCCATAACAAAGTACCACAAACTGAGTGGCTTAAAGAACAAAAAATTATTGTCTTATAGTCAGCAGACTAGAAGTCTTGGATCAGATGTTGGCAGTGCTGTTTTCTCCTGAGGGCTTGAGAGAAAATATGTTTCATGCCTCTGTACTACCTTTTGGTGGTTTGGGGGCAATATTGATCGTTCTTGTAGATGCATCACCGTGTCTCTGCCTGCATCTTTATATAATCTTCTTCCCGTATGTGTGTCTGCCTCTGGGCTCAAATTTCCTGTTTTTATAAGAATACTGTTCTTCCCAGGTTAGGGCCTACTCTAATGACTTTATTTTAACTGGATTACCTCTGTAAAGACCCTATATCCAAATACGGTCACATTGTGATAACAATGTGAGGTATTCTATATTTTAGGGGGAGGGTTACATTTCAATGAAATTCTGTGTTTTGGAGGGGTTACAATTCAATCCATAACCCCCTCATTGTAGGGTCAGGGATTTTGGAGATCACAGTTAACTGTGCACCAGTATCCAAAGGGCCCAACAAATGCAATTCTCTCTTACCTCCCCACTGAACTCTGAAAGTGATATAGGACTGCTGTTCTCCACTACAGACATAGGGACCTCAGCCCATTTCCTAGTCTTGTTTATTTTTGAAAGCTTAGACATCTGGGTAAAAGTTGACAGGGCTCTCCAACTCACCTCCAGATTCACTGGGAGGAGCAGAGGGAATAGCACTTATATTAATCATTAGGGCCATCACCTTGAAGACCTTAGTGAGGCAGCCTACTTACTCACTATCTGACCATGAGTTCCTTGGTGGGAGAGCCCATTAGTCTCCTCTTTGGGAAACTTTGTTGAGTAACCAAACCCAGAGATCTCTTTGGGAAGGCCTTAATCCAAATGCTCTGGCAGAGGACACAGGCTTATTATTTTTACATCACTCTTTCTGCTGGTCAGCCTTTGCTACCTGGCAGCAGCCACATTTTCCAAACTTGATGATTTGTCGGTGTACATCTGGATTATGTCACAGACTGAACAACATGGCCTATGAGGAGATTTAATTGAGCTTAGTAACCAGTGGGAGTTGCATGAATAAACCTAGAAATCTGAGTCTTATTAACGGTCACATCATCTATTGTTCTCACTCCTCATTTGTACATATAAGAGACCACTAGGGTGGCTCACAGGGAAACTGGACGGATGGATCCTATCCACTGGAAGGATGATCCAACCATATTATTCAGTGGCAAGGAACTCATCATGTGTGGGCCAAGTCTCTCAAAGCGCAAATAATACCCAGCTGAGGATACTGATGGTCAACATCAGAGGGTCTTGAGTGCTTGTACCCTTTCATCCCAATGCCGTCTTCCTCCTCTTCCTTAGGCAAAGTGGCTGCTGTTACTGTACTCTGAAAGTGGGAGTCTATAGTGACACATTGCTGAGGTGCCACTGTCACTCAACAAGTTTAACAAGATTACTTCCTTCATCATGGAGGCAAACTACTCAAGTGTCTAAGATTCCGTGGTGCAGTGATCCAAAAGCACTCTATTCTTTTCCATTTTAGGCATGAGTCTCAACAAAAATTCCCTGTATCATGGGCTGTCTTTTAGTGCCAGGGACATGCTTACAGCAAACAGTAGTAATTGGGTGCAACTCAGCACTCAGGGTCTCTGATGAATTTTGTTCCTACTGTCGGAGGACTGTATCAGTAATTGGGGAATTGCTTCCCTAGCTTTCCTAGAGTCTTTCTTTTGGATCTGTGATTTGACCCACCAGGAGAATTTGGCCAGGGAGTTGGAGGCTAATGGGAAGGACTGGTGGTCCCCCTTATACCTGAAAAGCTTATGTAAACAGTCACTAGCACTCCCCAAAGTACCCCCAGGGTCCACTAGTACTTCCTGAGACACATTGACATGGCTGATGAAGTGCCCATGGAATTCTCAGACTCTTGCAGATGATCCACTTGGTCACTCAAAAGTGTCTGATGGACTTCTCTAAAACTTCCCCAAAGTGCCCCATGGGATTTTCAGGGTGTTTGCTTTTCTAGAAAGGCAATGTGCTTTATTAACCACCATGCTCATTGCACCAATTTATCAGAGAAAACACTGCTAATTGTTGAGTTGGTCAATTAAGATGACAAGCCAGACTGAAAGTAACAAACATTTATTCAATTACTGTGATAGTATAAGCAACAGTCTAAATGGGAAAGGGCCCAATTTAATCAATGTTCCATTTTTCCCCACTGAAGGCACCAGGTTAGATGTTTCATCACAAATGGCGGGGATGGGGAGGATTGTCTCAGTGCCCCCAACAAAAGGCTCTTGCCATTTTATGGACCTGGGATGTGAGGGGAGGCAGGGAGAGCTAGGAGTGGAAAAGTACTGAAAACTGAGTCAGAAAGTAGAAAATTGTCTTCAAGGCTCCCCCCTAAGATAGTCTAAGCAAAGTCACCTGAAAAGTACAGTGATTCTGTTGAGCCCCTCTGAATGGAGACACAGGGGCTAGAAATGCAGATACGTGTGTATGTAAGAGCATGGTTTGTCTAGAAGGGCCTGAACTCTGATTGAACATCCTTCCAGAGACCAGTGCACTGGCTGTGCATTACATCTAGTGTGAGGTAGGAAGCTTTTTCCCATGGTAACTGCCTTATAAAGCCGTTCTAATTTTCTATGGTTGAACCCAAAAGATCATACATAGGATTTTAACTTGGATCCACACTCCTTGGTTTATACATATATACTTATATGTGTCATACACACATACGTGTGTGTGTGCACATATACATGCATATGTCATGTATATACATATTTTAATAATCATGAGAACTCTCAGACACTTTGAATTCTAGTTCCTCTGGTCTCATTCTTGCCTTCCTCCATTTCATATGCATATGTCCTTTCTTCCACAGTGTTAATCCTGAGTCTTAAAAAAATCAAAAGATTTATGTATTTGCTCAATCCTACAATGCTTCAAATCTTGTTACAGAATTGCTTGGCACATACCACTACAGAAACAAACCTGCCAAAAAGATTTAGTGATTTGCTTGTAGACTGCCTCCCACACTCTTGCCCAAGACTGAGGGTATGTTTCAAACACTGTATTTATAACTTATTTGGATTAGTGCCAGGGTTTTTTTTATCCCATCAGTAGGTTCATTTCATTGTTTGCTTTCAGCTTTAGTTGCTTCTTCTTGTCCTTGATGATCTAATTTTATTTTTGGAATGTGTAGAACATCAGCCTACTTCCAAAAGTAAATATTATATAAAAGGTATACTTAAGAGTGTGATTTCTTCCCCAGTCCTTCTCCTTGCATTTCCCAGTCCTCTTTCCCACCCTTGTCTTCTTTAGGTAACCAACTATGTTATTTTCCTGCATATCTTTCCTGTGCTTCCTTTTGTAAACTTAATATCTGTCTATTTCTCTATTTTTTCTGACTACTTTTTTCTGACCCAAAAGTCAGCATACTAGAAACTCTTTTTTTAGATATTTTAGACTTAACATTATCTCTTAGAAATCCTTGCATATCAGTTTATAGAAATCCTCTTCATTATTTTTACATAAATGTGAAAAGCATTTTGTACCACATTATATTCCATGGTTTATAGTACACCATAATTTGTAGTATGCACCTTATCTATTAAATCAATATCCTCTTCTTAAACATTTAGGTGGTTTGAAATATTTTGCAATTACAAATAATACTGTAATGAATAACATGTGCATATACATTTTCATTGTTTGGTCTATTATGTATGAACCTAATGTATAAATAACCCCAAAGTATATTTGATGCCTCAGAATATTTTTTTAGATTGTGAGACAGTTTCAATAGCACCCATTAAAATTTTTCTTATCATTTTCGTATCAGATCTAAATGGAAATTTATTTATAACTATAAAAATAAGAGAAAATGCTGCTGTCCACTTGCTACAAATTTGAAATCTAGAGTTTTCACAGTAGATCTGTTTTCCCATTTGGTAGACTAAATGCATCTCTTTATGTAGCTCATTTTGGAGTACCAGACGAAAACCTTATGATTGAGCCTCAAGATTCAGTGTCAAAACTCCAAAAGCCAGTAGAGAAACAAATAACTTCCAGAAGGGGAAGGCGCCACAGTAAGTATAATAATTTTGAATAACTTTAAATTATTTTAAACTCATCAGAAGATCTTTTTTCTTTGGTTTATGAATATATATTTAACCATATATTTTATAGAAATTTTACACTCTGGCCTAAAGTACAAATACCCTGAGATAACGAGAGAACAAAAGCAAAAGTGTTAATACCTTCTGGTTGGAATTTATAGTTATAAGATTATTTCACAGCCATAGAATATGTACTCGGTATCCACCAAGGCCCCATAATTGGCCAATAGAATCTGAAGGGATGTGTACTTTTCAGCTAACTCTGGAAGATTACAGGTTCCAGGAGATTATGCCCAGTGGGCACTTTTGATCTGTAGCAGTGTCTTTCTGCCGTAGGCTCCAATGATAAACTGAGAAGTTATTGAGATCTGTAACTTGAACAGATAGAAATCAGAGAGGCTTAGGGGAAGGGAAGCCTGAAAGCCTTGTCAGAGGGTCCCCTCCCAGGATATTCTGTTAATTTGGTGCCACACTAAGGTGAGGTCTTCTTGGTAACCTCATAGATGGGTGCCATAAAGTTCCCTGTATGGAAAGTGCCAGTACCAGAAAAGTCTCACCAATTGCTGGGTCTCTTTTTTATTTGGGGGGATTGAGAAAACCAAATATTGGCAATCATCTCCTCTAGAATGAGATGTTTGCAGAATTCCTTTGCAGATCATGCTCAGGAACTTTACTTGGGTGATAGGTCCTTATACCCATTCTGTGTTAATGGCTCAGTCATTTTGCTCCATGTGTGTCTGCAGAGTGACTAATCCTTGTTGGGTAGTGTTCTTGTCTGGGGCCACCAGGAAGATGTTTTCAATATAGTGGGAAGCTAGTGTTCCCTCCAGCAGCAGGACTTTTTCTAGGTCTTACCCTACCAAATGATGACAAATAGAGAGTTTAGGTGGACTTGTGGAAGGACATTAATGGTATATTGCAACCCATTTCATATAAGAGTAAACTGATCCTAATTATCTGCATGGACAGTGATGCTGAAAAGAGAGTTTGAGATGTCAGTTGTTGTACACCAAGTTCCTTTACCTTGAGCAACAGCCTCTGTGACAGTCACTAAGTCAGATACTGCCAGTGCCCAGGGCTGTACTACAGCATTGAGCTGCCAATAATCCATTGAGACTCTGTGATTCTGAGGCCACATGTCAGATAGGGCTATTGAGTGGAGAATTAGTCTCATGGAGAACTTTGTTATCTTCAAACTTGGCAATGAAGGCAGTTCTTTCTTTTTCAACTCCAGGCAGTTGCTATTGTTTTTGAGAAATAACAGCACTAGGAGCTGCTAGTCTGGTAGGTTTATGGTCTTCTACACAGCCCACTAAAATGGCCCTAACTGGAGCAATTTTTTTCAGGGCTTGTGGGCAAAGGTGAGCAGGTGTTCACCTAAATAATACATCTATACCAATAATACATTCAGTAGTGGATGCCTTAAGAATGGAATTTGTACTTGGCCAAAGAGACCCATCTATAGTTGGGTCTAGGAAAGGGTCCCATTGGTAGTAACCTCAGACCCAAAACCAGAAAGCATTATTTGTTTTCCCATCATTTTAGTGCTGGGGTATGTGGGTCACGGTCACATCTGCACTAGTATCCAAAAGGCCTGGAAATGTAATTCTCTCCCACCTCCCCGTTGAACGCTGACCCTGGAATACAACTTTTGGTTCCTACTGGGGATATAAGAACCTGATCTAACTCCTGGTCTTGTTAGTCATTGAAAGCTGAGCGTTCTCAGTAAAAGTTGGAGGTGGTCATCTATTCATCTCCAAATTCATAGCGAGGGGCAGAGGGAATAACAGTTTTATAAATCATAGGGGTCATTAACATGCAGACCCTACTACCTTTTGTAGCCCCCATGGCCCAATACTTGGTCATCAACCTCTTCTTTGAGAACCACTGTTGAATAACCAGACTCACAGAGACTCTAAGAGCATCTCTAGAAGCATCATCCAGAAGAGAGAGCATGATTACACTTTATATCGCTCTCTCTGCCAGTCAGTCTTTACTGTCTGGGCAGTAACTGTTTTTTTCCATGTCCCAAAATATGTCTGTTACATTCTGGATTTTGTTGCAGAATATTATCACCTGACCTTATGAAGAAGTTTGATTGTGTTTGATAACCAGCAAGAGTAACATGAAAAAACCTAGACATCTGAGCTGGTTAACTTTTATCTACTGTTCTTACTCATTATTGTAGAACCAAGGGACCACCAGCATGGTTCACAGGGCTGCTATGGCCTCTGCACTGGTGATCCAAATACGATGTTAATGGTAGGTTCATGCCAAAGCTATCAGAGTACGAATAGTACACAGCTGAGGAAGGAGGGGATCTCAGGGTTTGCCTCTCATCTCCCCTCTTCCTTCTTTCTCCTTGATCAAACTTTCTTCTGTCGAGACATTCTGAAGGAGGGGTACCATAGTGATGCACCCCACAAAGTGCCGTTATCCCTCACTAAGTTTAAGAAGACTACCTCCTTCATCATGCAAGTGAACAACTCAAGCCTTTAAGGTCTCTTTAGGTCACTGGGAAAAGCAATTCCAAAGAGTTCTATATTCATTTAATTAAACCACAAGTCTCATTAACTTGCTATGTCATAGGCTGTTTATCATTGTCTGGGACCTCATTAGAGCTAACAACAATCATTGGGTGTAATGTAGCTTGCAAAGTATGTGGCAATTTTTATTTTTATCATCAGAGGACAATAGCAGTGGCCAAGGAATTGCTTCCCTAGAGTTTCTAGAGCCCCTCTGTTGGATCTCTAATTTGACCCACCAGGTATTTTGGCCAGAGAGTCTGGGGCTAGAGGAAAGGACCATTAAACGAAAGAGAAGGACCTTAAAACCAAAAAGCTTACATAAACAATCTGCTGGCACTTTCCAAGAGTGTTCCACGGCATTCCTGAGATAGCACTTCCTGAGACTCATTGATATGGCTAGCAGAGTACATTGCTGAACCCTCAGACTCTTGCAAATGACCAGTTAGTATTCCTCCAAGAAGCCCTGTAGACTTCTCTAGCATCTCCCAACAATGATCTGGGGGATCTTCATGCTTTCTGCTTTTCCAGAAAGACAGTGTGCTTAATTGAGCCACCTTGCCTGCCACCCTTTGCCACCGAGAGGAAACCACCAGGTGTAAAAGTGGTCAATTAAGGGAACAAACTAAACTGAAAGTAACAATTAAGTCTTTATTCACTTAGTGCAATAAAATAAGAAAGAGTCTAAACATGAAAGGGCATTGACTCCACCAATGTTTCAACCAATGTTTCATTTTCCAACGAAATGACATCAGGCAAGCATCAGATGTATCAATGCAAGTGGGAGAGGAATGTCTCACCATTTGTACAGTATTTCTGTGTATATATATACATACATGTATATATGTGTGTATATATATATACATCATTATCTATCATTATAGCATCACTGACACTATACCAATACCATAGCTGTGGTATATGTCAGTTTATTTAACCAATCTCCTATGATTGAACATTTAGATGGTTTTCCATATTTTGCAATTACAAATAAGGCTGCAATGACTAATCTTGTGGATATGCATTTTCATTGCTTGATCTATTATTATGTATTAATCTAAAGTATAACTAATTGATGAAACCTGAAGACCAATATAAAATATATTTGTTGCTTAGGAATATTTATTAAATAATGAGAGAGCTTCGATATCACCCATTTCAAAGACAGATCTGGCAGTATAATAAATTAGTTATGATTTTATAAAAATGAGAGAAAATGCTACTGTACACTTGTTATAAATTTAAAATCTAGGGATTTCACAATAGATCTGTTTTTCCATTTAGTGGACTAAATACATCTCTTTATATAGCTTATATGGGAGAACAAGATGAAAATCTTATATTTTTGAAGCAAGATTCAGTGTCAAATCTCCAAATGCAAGTAAAGAAACAAATAATTTCCAGAGGAGAAAGACGCAATAGTAAGTATAGTAATTATAGGAAACTTTAAATTAAACTCATTAGAAGATCTTTTTTTTTGGTTCATGAATATGTATTTGAGCATATATTTTATAGAAATTCTACACTATGACCTAAAGTGTAAATATCCTAAGATAATTAGAGAACAAAAGCAAAATTAATGATTATTTTTGGTTGTTATTTGAGTGGTCAATAATTAGTAAGTAGCAAGACTGTTTCCACACACACTCATGAAAACTATTCACAAGATTTTTCTCATTTCACTTGTGTGGGAAGAAAATTTGATGATTATGTGGCATATCAAGAAGTTACATTATACTTATGCTTTTCTACTTAGCATTTCCTCCTGAAAACCAAAAAAATAATATGATATCAGTTGAAAATCTGTTTCCTGAGGAGGAAGTTTTATTTTCAAGAAACCAATCTCAAACTAAGAAATTTGGAGCTACCAGAGAGAAGAATCTCCATGGTAAGTAATTAAGTATAAATCTTATAAATTACTTTTGATTAAATTCAGAACATTGTTTTTGGTTTGTGAATATTTCTTCAATCATATGCTTCTTTGGTAATTTTTCCCATCACACTTTAGATTTTTATTGATGATTTATCTGTTTGTTTTATAATTACTGAGTTAGATATGTTAAATCTCATATTTTGATCTATATCTTATGATTTATTATTTATATGCACATAAATTTAAAATTGATAATATTCTTGGGGGCAGAACATTTTGTCCTAAGGAAGAGACCCACTTCATCATTTTTATAGTTTTTATTTGTTTATTTTCCTTTAAAACTACCTTATCTGCTATTACTGTAGCTCCACAAACTTTCTTCTGGTTGATGTTTGCATGATGCATTCTTTTCTATCCTGGACTTTAATTTTCCCGTATCTTTACGGTTTTGCTGTATCTCTTGTAAGAAACTTACAGTTGTGCATATTTTGAAATTTAGCCTGATCTTTGTCTTTTAATTAGCTCCCGTAATCACATATAATCTAATTATTGATATTTTTAGGTGTATTAACACCATTTTCTGGCTCTTTCTATTTTTCCCTTGTGGTATGTTTCTTTTACTCTTTTTTCTTTATATTTTTTATATTACGTATATTTTCCTTAGCCATATTTGATACTAAAAATTTTAAACTTTATTCTAAAGTGTAAATACTCTAAGGAAACTAAAGAATAATTTTAAATATATGAGTATTTATAATGTCAGTAACAATAATATTTCTAAATTAAATATATTTAATACTTCTGTATATCTGAAAAGTAACAAGACTGCGTATATATACAAGTGAAAAATCTATTCACATGATGTTTGTATTTCAACTAGACAGCAATTTGCTTATATCATTAAAAAATGATGTAAGATGTTGTTGGATAATTAACGTACATTGTAAACCTGGAGGTTCTCCTCAGATCTAGTTCTCTATTTAGTGCTTTTAGGAGACTTTCTTCCTGAAGCCCAGAGAGTGGATGAGGCATTAGATGAAAATCTTTTGTCTGACACTAGGAATTGCTAGAAAGAAAAGACTCAGCAGTAAATATAATTATGAATAATAAATTATTTAGAATTTTAATTGATTTAAGCAAAACTTTTTATTTTGTTCATGAATGTGTATTCTACTACCAGCTTACAGACATCTAAGTCAAATTTTTGTATTATTTAAATTTCCTAACTCTTGAGTTCCTAGAATTTTATTTGTTTTATCAATTATGGAGAGATGTATTTTGAATTCTCCCACATGATTGCAGATTTATCTATTTCTTCTTGTATATTCCTTATACTGTCCATTTTCCTTATACTGTCTATGTTGTTACGTGCATAAAAAATAAAAATGTTAGATATTCTTTATAAACTCAAAATTTTCTTTTTATGAAAAGTACCATCTTATTCTGTCTCCAGTAAGGTCTTTTGACTAAAATCCTATTTGTCTGACATTGACACACTACTGCATATTTATTTTGGTTAGTATTTGCATGGCAGATTTTTCATCACCTATTTACTTTTGAATTTTCTGTATTCTTATAATTTGGTGGTGTCTCTTATAAATAGGTTACAGTTAAATTGTTGATAAATCCAGTGTGACTGTCTTTGTCGAGCCCTATAACATGTAATCCATTTACAATTATTATACATATTGATATGTTTGGATTTAAATATTTCTTTTTTTATATGCTTTCTATTGTTCCTACTTGATCCAGGTTTCTTTCTATTTCCTTTCTTTATTTTGGAATTATTACTTTTTAATCAGTCTAACTTTTAAATCAATCATATATGTTAGAAAACGTTTTGAAATATTTTTAAAATGTAAATACCGTGGTACAGTAAAGTCTAGTCACCACTTTCTAAATGGATGCACGAGGTAATAGGAGTGTCTCCACGTACTTTTAGGAAAGCATCTCGATCATTTTTACACTTAATTTCATTGACTGTTTTGAAAATGCACTAGAATTTTTTCAGACTTTTTTGGGGAAAGGGAGTTGTTTGATCATTTGTTTAAATTGTGTTTATTTATTTAAACTGTTAGAATACTGGAAGGAAACCTTGAGTGGTTCTCGGTATATATTAATAGTCCAGAGGATCCATAATCCAGCTGTTTTACTTTTTATTGGATTAAAAGCCTCTATTCTTGTAGCTGAGAAAATAGATGAGATATCAGATGAAAATCTTTTACCTGAAGATAAAGTTTTTATCTAAAAAAAAAATCTCAAATTAAGACACTTGAAACTGCCAGAAAATTGGGGCTTAGTAGTAAGTATAATGACTGAAACTATTGTATAATAATTTTTAATTAAATTTCTTTAGTTCAATCATATAAATAAATGCTATATACTGTATCATATACATATAAGTACATATGTGCATAATATATATAACATGTATGTGTGTGTATTTATGTTCTCCATTATATCACGTTGATGAATTATGTTGTTTATGCCTTCTTAATTTCATTGAAATTCTGTTTATTCTGTCATTTGTGAGAAAGTTATGTTAAATTCAACTACTGATTGTTTATTTCTATATATTGAATTTAGTCGTAAAATATGAATAATTTATAAAACTATTCTCTTGAAAATACTCCCATTATTTCCACACTTCATGTACTCACTGTATAATTAAGTATCTTAACAATGTGGCATTTGATTATATTGTTTCAAAGTATAAGAGAAAATATTCCTGGATAATTGACATTTGACATAATTGAGTTACAAAATTTTTTCAGTAAATCCAGTTCTCTATTTAATGGATTAGAAACATCTTTCTTGTAGTGGAAGAGGTATTAGATGAAAATCTTTTACCGGAGGATAAAGTAGCATTGTCAAAAAGCCAATCTCAAACTAAGAAGCTTGGAGCTGTCAAAATGGAAACACTAAGTAGTAAGTATGATAATTTCAATATCATTGATTTACTTTTAATTAAAGTGAGCAGAAAACTTTGTTCTTAGATTTTTGAATGTTCAATCATGTCTTTTGTATACGTTAGATGAAATGTATTTATTGTGTTATTCAATTATTTAATTTCATTGAAGTTCTGTCTGTTTATTCTGTGTTACTAAGAAGTGTATCTTAAATTCTTTCACTGTGATTATAGATTTCTCTCAGCTTCCTGGTAGTTTTGCCAGATCAGTTTATGTATTTGTAAACTATATTATTAAATGTATACAAATTTATACTTGTTATATTCACCTGGTAAACTAAGACTTTGTCTTTGTGAAAGTACACTCTTTATCTCTAAAAATGCTTTTTTGCCTTAATGTTTATTTTGTCTGATAATAATACAGCTAGCTTGCTTTCTTCTCATATTTGCACAGTCTTTTGTAAATAATTCAGAGAGAAGTTCATGATGCCTGTATGGTCTCAGTAATTTTTTCATAATAATCCTAAACCACAAGAAAAGCCCAACAGTTTCTTTATTATTTAGCAATTAGCTAGAAGCACGACTTGTAAGAAACTGCCAAACCATCTTCCAATAGCTGTAGCATTTTGCATTCCCACCAGCAGTGAATCAGAGTTCCCATTGCTCCACATGCCTGATAGAATTTGTTTTCAGTGTTTGGGGTTTGACCCATTCTAATAAGTATTTAGTGGTATCTTATTCTTGTTTTAATTCACAACTTCCTGATGACCTATATGTTGAACATCTTTTCATGTGCTTGTTTGCCCTCTGTATGACTTCTTTGGTAAAGTATCTGTTCAGATTTTTGCCCATGTTGTAATTGGGTTATGTGTTTTCTAACTGTTAAGTTTTAAGTGTTCTTTGTATATTTGGGATAACAGTTCACTATCAGATATATGTTCTGCAAATATTTTCTTCCAGCCTGTGGCTTATATTATCATTCTCTTAATGGTATCTTTCTGAGAGCAGTTTTTTAAAAAAAAATTTAATGAAGTCAAATGTCAATTTCTTTTCGAGGATTATGCTTTTGGTGTTTTATCTAATAAGTCATCACCAAACTTAGAGTCACGTATGTTGTCTTCTAAGAGAGTCATAGTTTTGCGTTTTACATGTAGGTCTATGATTCATTCTGAGTTAATTTTTGGTGTAATGTTTGTGTCTAGATTCTTTTTATTTTTTTGCAAGTGGCGGTCCGGTTGTTCCAGTACCATTTGTTGAAAAGACTATTGTCTCTTGAATTGCCTTTGCTTTTTTGTCAAAGATCATTGACTGTATTTGTGTGGGGCTATATCTCTCTATTCTGTTACAGTTGATCTACTCTTTCATCAATAGCACATTGCCTTGATTTCTTTAGGTTTATAAGAAGTCTTGAAGTTGAGTAGCATCAGTTTTCTGGCCTTGTTTTCTCTTCAACATTGTGTTGGTTAATCTGAGTGTTTTGCCTTTTCATATGAACTTTAGAATTGATTTGTTAATATCCACGAAACAGTTTGTTGTAATTTTGATTGGGATTGCATTGAATCAAGTTGGAAAGAACTGACATCTTAACAATATTTAGTCTTCCTACCCATATACATAGAATATCCCTCCATTAGATCTTAGATTTGTTTAGATCTTTGATTTTCTTTAGATCTTAGATTTGTTTAGATCTTTAGATTTTTTTAGATCCTTACAGCAGAGTATTTGTTTTCCTCATGTATCTTTTGTATTTATTTTGTTAGATTTATACTTAATTATTTCATTTTTTGGTGCTAATATAAATGGTATTGTGCTTAATTTCAAATTCCACTTGTTAATTGTTGATATATAGGAAAGCAATTGACTTTTGTATATTAACCTGTATCTGGCAACCTTGCTTTAATAGCTTAGAGTTTCAGGAATTTTGTTGTTGTTCAACAAAAATAGTTTTATTTACATTTCTCAATGTATGCACCTTTTATTTCCTTTTTCGTCTTATTACATTAGCTAGGACTTCCAGTGTGATGTTGGGTAGGAGTGGTGAGAAGGAATATCCTTGACTTATTCCTGATCTTAGAGAGAAAGCATTTCATTTCTTACCATTAAGTGTGATGTTATCTGTTGGTTTCTTTGTAGATGTTCTTTATCAAATTGAGGAAGTTCCCCACTATTCTTAGTTTACTGAGAGTTTTATCATGAATGGGTTTTGGATTTTTTCAGATGATTTTCCTACATTTCTGATTGATCATATGATTTTTTTCCAGTCTGTTGATGTGATGGATTACATTAATTGATTTTTGAATAATGAACCAGCATTGCATATCTGGAACAAATCCCATTTGGTCATGGTTTATAATTATTTTTATACATCGTGGGATTCAATTTGATAATATTTTGTTGAGGATTTTTGCATCTTATTCGTGAAAGATATTGATCTGTAGTTTTCCTTTCTTATATTTTTGTCTAGTTTTTGAATTAGAGTAATAAAGTTCAAATATATTGTGATTTGAGAGAGTATTTCATATGATTTCTATTCTTTTAAATTTTTTAAGGTATGTTTGATGGGCCAGAATATGGTATATCTTGGTGAATGTTCCTTGTAAACTTGAGAAGAATGTATATTCTGCTGTTGTTGGGTGGAGTAAGCTATAAACGTCAATTGGACCCAGTTGGTTGATGGTGCTACTCAGTTCAACTATATTATTATGGATTTTCAGTCTGCTGGATCTGTCAATTACTGATAGATGGTATTGAAAACTGCAAATATAATAGATTTGTCTGTTTCTCCTTGCAGTTCTATCAGGTTTTGCCTCATGTATTTTGTTGCTCTGTTGTTAGGTGCATACTTATTAAGAATTATTATGTTTTCTGGGATATTGACCCCTTTATCATTATGTAATGCTCTTTTTATCCCTGATAATTTTCCTTGGTCTGAAGTTTGCTTTGTCTCCAATTAATATAGCTTCTCCAGCTTTACTTTGATTAGTGTTAGCATGCTATATCTTTCTCCATCCCTTTATTTTTAGTCTTTCTTATCTTTCTGTTTAAAGTGAGCTACTTATAGACAACACATGGGCTAGTTTATTTATTAACTCTGACAGTCTCTGTCTTTTAACTAATGTACTTAGGCCATTCACATTTAAAATGATTATCGATATATTTATTTTATTTTATTTTATTTTTTTAATTGCAGTAACATTGAGTTATAACATTATATAGCTTTTGGATGTGCATCATAATATATTTCGAATTATGTGTAGATTACATCATGTTCACCACCCAAAAACTAGTTATAGTCCATCCCCTCACATGTGAGCCTAATCACCCCTTTTCCCTCTCCCCTTCTTCCCCCAGGGTAACCACCAATCCGTTCTCCAAGGCTGTGTGTTTGTTTGTCGTTGTTTTTGTCTTCTACTTATGAGTGAGATCATACGGTATTTGACTTTCTCCCTCTGACTTATTTCTCTCATTGCAATACCCTCAAGGTCCATCTATGTTGTCACAAATGGCCAGATTTCATAATTTCTTATGGCTGAGTAGTATTCCATTGTGTATGTATACCACATCTTCTTTATCCATTCATCCCTTGATGGGCACCTAGGTTGCTTCTAAGTCTTGGCTATTGTGTATAATGCTGCAATGAACATAGGGGTGCAAGTATCTTTATGCCTTTGCATTTTCAAGTTCTTTGGATAAATACCCAGCAGTAGGATAGCTGGATCATATGGTAGATCTATTCTTAATTTTCTGAGGATACTCCATACTGCTTTCCATAGTGGCTGCACCAGTTTGCACTCCCAACAGCAGTGTGCAAGGGTTCCCTTCTCTCCACATCCTCTCCAACACTTGTTGTTTCCTGTCTTGTTAATTATGGCCCTTCTGACCAGAGTGAGTTGATGTCTCGTTGTAGTTTTGATTTGCATTTCCCTGATAGCTAATGATGTTGAACATCTTTTCATATGCCCGATGGCCAGCTGTATATCTTCTTTGGACAAATCTCTGTTCAGATCTTTTGCCCATTTTTTAATTGGCTTGTTGGGTCTTTTTTGTTGAGCTGTATGAGTTCTTTGTATATTTTGGATATTAACACCTTATCTGATATATGGTTTGCAAATATCTTCTCCCAATTGTTAGGTTGTCTTTTGGTTTTGTTGATGATTTCCTTTGCTGTACAGAAGCTTTTTAGTTTGATATAGTCCCATTTGTTCATTTTTTCTTTTGTTTCCCTTGCCTGGTCAGACATGGGACTTGAAAGTATGCTGCTAAGACCAATGTCAAAGAGTGTACTGCCTATGTTTTCTTCTAGAATTTTCATGGTTTCGAGTCTTACATTCAAGTCTTTAATCCATTTTGAGTTGATTTTTGTGTGTGGTGTAAGGAAATGGTCTACTTTCATTCTTTTGCATGTGGCTGTCCAGTTTTCCCAACACCATTTATTGAAGAGACTCTCCTTTCTCCATCGTATGCTCTTGGCTCCCTTGTCGAATATTAGCTGTCTGTAAATGTGTGGGTTTATTTCTGGGCTCTTGGTTCTGTTCCACTTATCTGTGTGTCTGTTTTTGTGCCAGTATCATGCTGTTTTGGTTACTATGGCTTTGTAGTTTATTTTGAAATCAGGGAGTGTGATACCACCTGCTTTGTTCTTTTTCTCAGGAATCCTTTGGCTATTTGGGGTCTTTTCTTGTTCCATATAAATTTTAGGATTCTTTGTTCTATTTCTGTGAAAAATGTTGGAAGTTTGATAGGGATTGCATTGAATCTATATATTGCTTTAGGAAGTATGGAATTTAACAATGTTAATTCTTCCAATCCAAGAGCACGGAATATCTTTTCATTTCTTTGTGTCTTCTTCGATTTCTTTCAACAATGTTTTATAGTTTTCAGTGTACAGATCTTTCACCTCTTTGGTTAAGTATATTTCTAGCTATGTTATTCTTTTTGTTGCAATTGTAAACGGGATTGTATTCTTAATTTCTCTTTCTGCGACTTTGTTGTTGGTGTATAGAAACGCAACCAATTTTTG